ATTTTACATTCATTGACTCACATAACCCCCATGGCAGTCCTAGGAAATAAGGGCTAATATTACCTCCATTTCACAAATGAGGAAATGGGGGCACTCAGAGGCTACCTAACTTGCCCAGAGTCAGAACATGGACAGGAGCTGAACACAGGGCATCTAGCTCCGAAACACAGGCTCTGACTTCCTTTCACTGAGACAAACCATGGGCTGTCAGAGGACTGCCCCCTTCAGGCAGCCTGGGCAGATGAGGAGTTACCAGAGGAAGGACCTATAGCTACCAAGCTCTTCTATCAGTCCGACACTATAATCATGAATTAAGTGTTTCCTTAGATGAGTACACAGCCCAGTCCTGGTCAACAGAAGGCAAGTTTCAGAGAGTTTTGTCTTCTCAATTAGGGCAAGGGTGTCCTAGTCAGATCACTTCTCTCCCTGGGGATATGTCACATACGGACTGTACACCTCATCTGCGCTGTACCAAGTGCTGTATGTGGGCTTCCTCTTTTATGCACCACATCCCCATGAAGTATTCACTATTTTAAAAAATTCAGTTTTGCCCTGACCGGTGTGGTTCAGTAGGTTGGGTGTCATCCCGCAAACCAAAAGGTCGCTTCAATTCTCCATCATGGCACATGCCTGAGTTGCGGGCCAGCCCTCGACTGGGGGGTATGTGAGAGGCAACTGATGTTTTTCTCCCACACTGATGTTTCTCTCCCTTTCTCTCTCTCTAAAAAAATACATACATACATAACCAAAAAAAAAAAAAAAAAAAAAAAAGGATCCCTTGACTGTAATAGTTGTGATCCAAGAACATTTAAAATATATTTTTTATTCTATCAAAGTAATTTCCTGCACAGAATTTAGAATCAAGCCTTGTGGAAGCAAAATTTATTATAAAAAACAGTGTATACCCTCTACCCTACTCCATTTCCACTTCTACAGACTCGCCACTTTGAATAGCTGTTTCATTTTAAAAACTTAAAAGTACTTTTTGATTTTTCAGTGTTAGGTTTGTACTTGACAAAGTACTTTGGTTTCATTTTCCATACTAACATTTGCATATTTTATTTTGAATTAGAACCTATGAAACTTCAAGATATGCATATGCTATATTTTTAATAGGAGCTTTGTAAGATATTGTGTTTTAGTGATTAAGTGTTGGGATTTCTATTACATTAAATTTTCTCTTAAGAAACAAAATTAAAAAAAACTCAGTACTGGCATTGGGAGCCACAATCCTGGTTTATTTTTTAAAAATCATGAGTCCTTGGTCTTCCATGCTATGATTTATTTGTTGCCAGTTTTTTAACCCCTGAAGGCTTTGTTTCAACAGTACTCTCAGGCTTTTATCGCAAATAAATACACTGTACACTGAGGAAAATTCATTCACTCCTAGTATCAGTCTAATAATTAGGCTTGCGAGCCTATTACATAAAAATCATCAAGTACTACCTCTGTCCCCTCTCCCCGCACTGTAGCATTATGTAGTTTGGGGTCATCCCGGCTACTCTCACTTACACTACTTAATCCCCTTCATTAGTTATTTATTCCTGCATTACCTCAAATTTTAGCAACACCATTTCTGAGGGTCAAGAATCTTGGAGTATGTTAATTGGGTGTTTTTGGTTCAGGGTTTCCCAGGAAATTGCAGTCCAACTGGTGGCCAGGGTTGCTTTCTCTGAAGGCTAAACTGGGGCTGGAAACTTCAGTTCCTCAACACATGGGCCTCTCCATAGGGATGCTCTTCACATGGGTTTCTTCAAATTGGATGATGAGGTGGAGGAAAAGAGATGAGAGAAGAAAGAAGTCTTGTATCTTGAAACTTTGCTGAATTAGTTTATTAGCTCGTTTTTCTGATGGATTCTTTGGGGTTATCTATATGCAGAATCATGTTATCTGCAAATACTTCTTCCATTCCAATTTGGATGTCTTTCTTTTTCTTGCTCAATTTCTGTCTAGGACTTCTAGTATTACGCTGAAAAGCAGTAGTAAAAGTGAATGTTTTTTTCCTGATTTCAGGGGGATGGCTTTTAGTTTTTTACCTTTGAGTGTGATATTGGCTTTGGGTTTTCTAGATGCCTTTTATTATGTCAAGAAAGTTCTTATTCTTATTTTAAGTGTTTCTGTCATGAAAGAGTATTGGATTTTGTCAGTGCCTTTTCTGCACCCATTCAGATGATTATATGGTTTTCTTTCTTTGCTCTATTAATGCAGTGTATTATATTGATTAATTTCCTTATGTCAAACTACTCTTGTATTTCTGGAATAAATCCCACCTGGCCACAATGTGTAATCTTTTAAATGTGCTGTTTGATTCAGTTTGCTAGTATCTTGTTGAGGATTTTTGGTCTTTAGTTTTTTTCCTTCCTTGTGGTATCTTTGTCTGCAGCCCACTTAATTTTAAATCCATAGTTAAGATGAGGAATAAGCTAATCCTGTAATCCTGAGCTTGTAATAGTAGTGCCAGACCAAAAAAGACTATTTTCTTTTTTAAAAATATTTTATTTATTTGGGGGGGGGGGCGAGGAGAGAGGGAGAGAAATATCAACTGGTTGTATCTTGCAGACCAGGAACTGAATTAGTGACCTTTTGGTTCATGGGCTGACATTTAATCCACTGAGCCATACTAGCCAAGGCACAAATTTTCAACCTTCCAGAGACATAAAATGCATGACTTACTTTTGGTGACTTAAATTTGAAAGAGACTGCCTTATTTTCTCTACCATAGAGAATGTTGTATACTTGGCACTGAAAAATATATATTTGGCTAGGGTTCTATGATGGCTGGTTATTAGGTAGAACAGTAACTTGGCTGCTGGGATAGAGAAAAGGTCAGGATCCCAAGAAGGTAATGGGTTGGGAAATATAGGAAGATGAGGGACACAAGCTTCCTTAATACAGGACAAATGTTTTCTTGACTTTTTTTTTGGTTTCATTCTGCTTTCCCATTAGAGAGAAAAGATAATCTTATTTTTCATTATTTTTTAAATTCCTCCAACAACGTATTTCTACATGACTATCTTCTTATTATGCTTCTTAGAAATTTAGAAACCTGAGGTTAAGACAAAAACTCACTGCCTAGTTTGTACTGATAGTTCAAAGATACTTTAACACTGAATAATATCAATTTCTAATCTTTTTTAAAAAAAGATTTTTAGTTTTTAGAGGGGATGGGAGGGAGAAAGCTGTTGCCTCTTGTATGTGCCCCGTCCGGAGACATGTACCCTGACTGGGAATTGAACCAGTGACCTTTTAGCTTTGTGGGACAATGCTCAGCCAACTGAGCTGCACCGGTCAGGGCAATTCCTGACCTTCATTGAAAATGTTACTTACCACTCTTAAAGAGGAGATAATGGGTAATGAGGAATAGCTCTATGGTTTTCAGAGCAAACTAGTGACAGTGTGGAGCAGGCAACAATTCTGATTGCACCTCCTGCCTTCTTTCTGATGCTTTAGCCACCTTTTGCCAAATTTACTTATCAAAATACAATCTGATGAAGGCAAGAATGCAAGGGCTTGATGAAGCTTAAGAACAGTATGCTGCAAAGCGGAGAAACCATTTGACCTTACTAGAAACTCCTGCTTTTCTCTCAGTTGGGCTTGTGCAGTCTCATTCATATGCTGCAATGTACCCTGGACATGATCAAACCAGTGTGGGAATTAAAACTAGAAGTGGATATAAAGGGAGGTGTGAGCACACTCAATAGAAAGAAAAACTAACTGGTCATTTGGCAGTCTTTCAGTTAGGTTCTTCCGTCTTGAATGTAGCTCTGATGTGCTTTAGTTGTTTTGTAAACCTGTTCAGATTCACTAAATGATTAAAGTACCTTCACTGTCTAAATTCCTACTTGTTAGGTGAAACTAGATAGCAATGCTGGGCTCACTACTTAGGCTCCACATATTTAAACATGCCTAGTGTCCATGAAAAGCAAGCTGTTAAGAGTTGTCATAGGAGCACACTATCTCTGTAATTTCAGGATTAAATAGAAGGAAGACAGGGAAGAAAGGGTGGTTGTTGCTGTGAGCGCAGGCAGCTCCCTAGCACTTCCCCAAGCTCTATCAGGATCTCAGGAAGAGGAAACTGCCAACCTCCCCTCTGTAGTGGCTGGTCTGCTGGGGCCTTTCTTCTTTTCTTTCTTTCTTTTTTATAAGCAAAAGTTTATTTAGAAAGTCACAGAGGTAGAAGAAGTGAGCCACAGAAGACATGGATTTAGGAAACAAGTTACAGCAAAAGAAGGGCTCTTGGAGCTTAGGAGAAAGAGCAATATGTGCCTCGCAAGATGAAAAAGGAAGGAGAGGTTAGGGTGTACTGGGGATGGGGGGAGGGGGAAGGGAGAAACACAATGTGAGAGAGAAACACTGATTGGTTGCTTTTGGTATGAACCTGACTAGGGACTGAACCTGCAACATAGGTATGTGCCCTGATCGGAAATTGAACTGCAACCTTTTGATTCATGGGATGTGCTCCAACCAAATGAGCCACCCAGCCAGGGCTCCCCCACAAATCCTTATATTGAAACCCTAATGTCTAATGTGATGGTATGAACACATGGGGCCTTTGGGAGATGCTTAAGTAATGAGGATGAAGCCCTCATGAATGGGATTAGTGCCTTTTAAAAGAGGATCCAGAGAGATCCCTAGCCTCTTCCCCAATGTGAGGACACAGTGAGAAGGCGCCCACTACGAACCTGAAAGCAAGCCCTCACCAAGGTGACCATATTGGTGTTTTGATCTTGGACTTTCCAGCCTCCAGAGCCATGAGCAATAAATTTCTGTTGTTTATAAACTACTCAGCCTGTGGTATTTTGTTTTGGCAGCTTGAATAGATTAAGATACATAGGAAACAATCCAGCTCCTTCCAATGACGATAAACTACGCTGTTGGGAAGACACAACTGCATAGCCTATGTTAAAAATAGCAGAGTGGTTTAACCCCTCGAATCTGAGAAATGAACTGAGGTATCAATTCCTATAGGCTAGTTGTGTTTCCTACTGCAGTCAAAAAGATTTGTCAGGATAAAGTTAGCTTTATAATTTATTAATCATGAATGCATACGTGTACACATCACACACACATGCATATACACAGCCACATATTTGTTCTTTCCTTTGGTTTTCTGGCATGTCCAAGTTTGCAGATAACACCTTAGGGAGCCCATTCAAATTTCAGGAAAATGACTTATCTTGAGGACACACAAAGAATTGCTGATACTCTCACAGGAAGTGTCCCTATGTTACAAACTTTACAAGGTAGAAATAGAGTTCCTGGAGTTGTATTCAGAAGACTGTTCAGGAAGGCAGTAATAGCAGGTTTCACCCTACGGGGGGAGGCTCAACAACAGGCGAGTAGAGCAGGACTGGGGCCACATCTTCTTCTGGAGGAACGACAGCCTTATGCAGGCGAGTGAAAATCACCAGAGGCTCTTTCATCTCAAGGATCTTTTTTAGGATCCAGCTTTATAAATAAGCCTAAATGAACAAGAAAAACAAAAAAACCTGAAGGTAAGTCAACTGACTTCAACCTGATGGGACTTCTCTAAATAGAAATATATGTTCTAAGAAAGGCACTTAAATTCATATTTGTAACTTCTTTCATTTTTCAGCCAAATTGAGAATCAACTTTTGACTGTCTCAATACTGTATTATCTTCCCTAGGTAACCAGATCTTCTACTACTTGGTCATTTCATGGTTCATTACCATTTCCATTAGAGATAGTCAGGGAAGTGAAAGTAAGTAAAATTACAACTGAGCCATCTGGCTCCCTTTATGATACTGAAAGGTTTGGTGAGATAGGAAGTATAAACCAGAGCCTGGAATGGAGTTTTTAAATTTATGTATTCCTATTATTCATAATATTTTTCCTGCTTATTTCATCTATTATTCCAGCAAACAGCTGGTACTTAGGGGGAAAAATGAATTTCTTAAACAAGACACAAAAAGCATTAACTGTAAAGGAAAAATTTAATTAATGTGACTATATTAACATTAAAAACTTTTGTTCATAAAAAAGATACTTCTTAAAGAAAATAAAAGACAACTCATACACTAAAAGAAGATATGTGCAGTTTATGTATCCAACAAAAAGATTAGTTTAATATAAAATAATAATAAACCAACCTACCTGGTTCCCTTCCCAGTGGAAGCCAATATTAATGTGTGTGACTTTCCTAAAATAGTCTGTGCAATACAAATATATACAGATATTTCTGTTCCCTCCCCCCCATTTCTTTCCTTTTCATTTGGAAATAATTTCAAGCTTACAGAAAAACTGTGAGACTAGTACAAAGAACCACTGGAGAGTAACTTGCCAAAATTTGTACAAAGTGACAATATACAAAATTCCTCAATACAACATTATTTGCAAAAGCAAAAGACTGGGAAAACACACATGTCCACCATCTCCAATGCCAGCCCACGCCACAGGGTTCATTCTCATTTTTTCTCTTCCCATACCTGGAACCTGCTTCCCCATCATGACTGCCAACTCATACTGATGCCACCCTCTCCCCCTGGGCTCGACACCCATGCCACACTCTGTGAGGAAGTCTTGCTTACCCTACTTGGGCTCTGACACCCTTCACTGGGCCACTTCCTGTGTGGACACCCTCGGTGCTCCACTCAGGCTCTAACATATCATGCCATTGCAGCCACCTCTCCCTTTGGCCGCCCCCTCACACTAAGCCTACCACGCCTGACTCTACATGACTTTTGAATAAATTATTCAGGAAGGAAGGAAGGAAGGAAGGGGTGAAAGGGAAAGAGGAAGAAAAGGGGAAGAGAATTAGAACTTCTTTTTCTACACTAATGATAACAACTGTATATTGTATTTTTCATTCAATATACAGGGTCTAGCAGAAGTAACGCCTGCTTGAGTGTGGTTGGGAGGGTAACAATATGGGTGTAATAGTTTTAATTTGAACATTTCATCTAAAATCTCGTATGGTGTGCTTGAGTGTAACATTGTCATGTTACAGAGTTACATGCTTATGATTCTGTAATAAAACAGGGGCGTTATTTGTGCTGGACCCTATATATTAATGAGAGCTCCATATCATGCATGAAGAGTTTCCTTATTCTTATTTATGGCACCACAACATTCCACAGTACTGTTTACGGCCTGCATAACATAGTCTATGGACAAACTAGTCTTTTTAACCCATCTCCTATATATGGATACATGTGTTTTGCCAATCTTTTGTTATTCTAAGTAATCGTTGCATGAGTAACACCATTACTGGGACCCTCGAGTAACCACATATGCTATAATTCTGTACGCATTATTACACTTGTGGGATTAAGTCCTGGAAATGGGTCAACGGGTCCATGACTTGGTAATTTTGATAAATACTGTCAAATAGCTCCCTACCAGCATGTATAAGGAATACCTTTAATTTATTCTTTAAATGACAGAGAATTAAACATTTCTGGGCACGTGTGACTTATAAAACCAAAGCAAAACAAATAAACAAAAAACACCACTACCATCACAACAAAAGACCTGGAAAAACACAAACAAAATAACAAAATCTCAACAAATCCCCCAAAGCAAAAGAAAACACAAACCAATCTAAACCAAACCAAAATAAGGGGAGTGGCGGCTTCTTACTTGTTGCCTCTGTGTACAGGGTATTCTCATCAATACTTCGAACATCACAGGAAATAAACAGTTTCCTTCCTTCAACCTTATCAAGTTGGCTATTTATCACAACAACAGAACAAAGTGGCACAGGTCTGCAGAAGGAAAAAAAGGAATAAATCAGTTTTTATCAGATTTACGTAACATTGAGAGATGATCAAGTGCATGACAAGGGGTAGCAACTTATGATACTTGGGTTCAGAAGGTGCTAACTGTCATAAATAAAAGGGTGACACCAGCAGCCACTCACACTCCCTTCCTCCCAAGCACCACTACTTTCAGGTGTCTCTTGGGCATCCAGCCGCTGAATGCCCTGCTGGGTTAGGTTCAAAGGATCCCCAGGGATTCCAGCTTTGTGATGGCACAGGCTGTCCCAGCTGCTGATCTGGAGCAAAGTCTGAAGGGGGCTAAAATCCTTTAAAGAAATGAAAACAGGACCATGGGATGGTCCCAGTTAGCTTCTCTCATTTCCCCTGTCATAATCAAAATTTCTCACCCAATCCCTTTAAAGTAACTTTCACTAGAAAGGCACCTAATGACAACAAATTGTTGGTAACAGCTTAATGTGCTAAGCTAGTGCTGTCCAACAGAACTTTATATGATGACAGAAATGTTCTATATCTAAGCTGTCCAATATAGTAGCCACAGGTGACTGAACATTCGAAATGTGACTATTGTGAATAAGGAACAGAATCTTTAATTTATTTAATTTTAATTAATTTATATTTAAATTTAAATAGCTGTATGTGACTGGTAGCTACAGTCACCTTTGTGAATCCTCAAGATATAGTACCATAAAGAAAAAGACATTCCTGCCCTGGCCAGGTAGCTCAGTTGGTTAGAGCGCTGTGTATCAAGATTGCAGGTTTGGTCCCTGGTCAGGGCGTATATTAAGTATCAACCAATAAATGCATAAATAAGTGGAACAACACAATGATGTTTCTCTCTCTCTTTCTTAAATCAATAAATTAAAAAAAAGATATTCCTTTAAAGGTGAAATACAGTCAGCAGAACAACATAGACCAGGGAGATGTGTTTTGTGTTCCTACAGTACCGCTATGTGGATGAAGGAGCTACTCCAGGTGGAAAGGAAGTTGTCACTGTGATTACCCCTTTGTTCACTCTTCCCTACCATTTGCTTTTCCTGAACCTCTTGATGGAACAACCTGGCTTTATTCTTTTCTTGGGCCAGTTAAAGATTTACTAAGACTCCCAGGGACGTTAGGTGTTCTTGTCTGCCCAAATCTCCCTTTTCTACTAACATTACTTCCTTCCTTTTTCCATGTCTTACCCCTCACCTCATTCTGCCATTCATACACACTGATAATCTCTGTTCTTTGGGGAATCACCCCCATTCTTAACTCATGGAGATTGACTAGAGTTGCCGGCTGAATCCCATCATCCCCGTACACAGTGAATGGTTATGGGGGGTAGACACAGGCCAAAACGGCCCATCCTGGAACTTGCACTGGAGCCCTTGTGACTGGGTTCTTTATCTGCTGAGGCTTGGTAGATACAAGCCTGACTGGTGGCCATTATGGCACTATATTAGGAAAGGTACTTGGGGATAAAGCAGACCCAGAGGAAAGTGTGACTGAGACACTAATGGCATCACTGAACACCTGCACACAGCCACACCTGTCTTCTCAACCACACAAGCCAACAGGTTCTTTCCTGTACTTACGCTAGTGTGGGTTAAGAGTTCTATCTCTTGCATTGGAAAGAGTCCGTGATTAATGCAAGACTAAGAGAAAGGATCTCAGAAAATACAAAACAATATAACCACTATATTCATAAAGTATAATTTTGTAAATGCAAGTAATATTTAGGCCCAAATGAGTTTGGATGGCATAGGAAACAGGCTTCAAATAATTTTCCTTCATTCAATTTTGCTACATAACTTACTAAGGCAGTATTAGAGGCAGGAAAGAGATAAGAGAGATAAAAGCAAAATTTAAAAATAAAAGGGAAAACACACATATACAATAGACAGGCTTAACAAATCCAAAAGATGGCTCTTTGAAAAGACTAATAATCCCTGGCAAGATAAATCAAGAAAAACGAGAGAGCAGAAATAAATACCATTAAGACCAAAAGGTCACAACTACAGATTTAGCTAAGATCACAAAATGAGAATACCGTGAATAATTTCATGTCAATGCATTTTAAAACTTAGATGAAATGAAAAAATGTGCAGAAATATATGATATCAAAATTGGGAAAAAAAAGATTAGGAAGACTGAATAGTTGAATAAAGAAGATACTAAGGCCCTAAAAGAATAGGGAAAGATCCCTGGTCTGTGAATCATTTCAGGGTTAAGTCTCTCACTGACCAGAATACCACCCAAGATTGAATGTAAACAAAAAGAGTCTACTGACTTAAGTAAGTAAAATGTTGGGATTGTAACAGTAGCTAGTGTTTCTTAACAAATTTACTACAGATTTTTTTGTAAACAAATTCCCTTAGTTTTGACTTCTAATTTAATGTAGCCCTAGAATTTAGTCTGTAAGATTCCAATTCTTTAAAATTTATTGAGATTTGATTTATGGACCACTACATGATCAATTTTTGTAAATGCTCCATGTGTGCTTGGGAAGAAAGTATATTCTCCAATTACTGGATATAGGGTCCTATATTTGTCCAATAAATTATACTTGTTATCTCATGGTGTTTAAATTTTCTCTTTTAAAAATTTTTTTTGGTCTACTTTTCTATCACTGAGAACAGTGTGTTGAGATCTTCCACTATGAAAGTGAATTAGTCAATTTCCCCCTGGATTCTACTAGTTTTGTTTATATACTTTGAAGTTATTTTACTAGGTACATACTGATTTAGAATTGTTATTATCTGCTATTGAATGGAATCTTTTATTATGAAGTAGCCTTCTCTATATCCCTAATATAACTTTTTAAAACAATTTATTATATTTTTCTGATATCCCAGCCCTTTTCTTGTTCACTTTTTCCTGATATATTTTTCTTCCCTTTTGTCTCATATAACTATAAACTATATAAATATATAATAAACTATATGTTTATAAACTATTTAAACTGTTTATAGCTTTTCATATTTTATCTTTTTTTGAAATAAATTTTATAATCTCTTTCTTTGAATTAACAGTTTGGTTCATTTATTATGTTTAGTGCAATTACTGATTTATTTAGACTTTTTTCTTATTTTTGCATTCCATTTGACTTTTTTCTCTTTCTTGCATCTTTAAAAATGGAATTTTATTTTATTTACCTTCTTTTTACTTTTCTACTGGTTTAGGCTTTAGTTATTCATTCATTCATCCTCTCCACTGAAAAATACAAAGATGTTCAACATTAGTTATGTTCACCTCCTCTCAAACAACATGCTATTTTTGTCCAGTACTTTATCTGTCCTTTTTTAACTTCCAAGAATTTAGAAATTATTATTACTTATATGTAGACTGTTTAGAGTTGTGTTATCTACTTGTTTACTGATGTATTTGCTCACTATTCTGTCTTTTCATCCTTCTGCCTGATAGAATTACTCTCCTTCTTTCTACAGTAAGGAAATTGAAAATTTCCTTTCTTTAAAAAAATATTTTTTTCAGAGAGAGGGGAAGGGAGGGAGAAAGAGAAGGGAAGAAACATCAATGTGTGGTTGCCTCTCACGTGTCCCCTACCGGGGACCTGGCCCACAACCCAGGCATGTGCCCTGACTGGGAATCAAACCCTTTGGTTCGTAAGCTGGTGCTCAATCCACTGAGCCATACCAGCCAGGGTTTCTGTGGAACATTCTTTAGAAATTCTCTAGGTATTGTTCTGTTGTTTGTAAGCTTTCTCCATTTTGTTGAAATAAAAATGCCTTTATTTTGCCCATAGTTTTAAACTTTAGTTTTGCTGAAAGCATGATTCTGAGGCAGGATAGTAAGAAGCTAGGCAAATTCTAATGGGGAAACTGAGACAAGATAATTAAACAAGGCCAAACAATTTGAACAATTTACAGTCAACTAGTGAATCATGAGACCTTATCTTCCCTAACCAAGGACACTTGAGAGCAAATAGTTTATACCTCTCCTCTCTAACCAGACAATAAATAGCTTAAATCATCCTGGTTGGGGAGATAGAGAGCAGAGACTCAATTAATGTCATTTATGCCAGCCAAACCCAAGGATGAATGAAATCAGAGGAACAAATAACAAGAACCTGATTAGAGCCAGAATAATCCAACATAAAAGTGAAACAGTAAAGCAGACCAAAGAATAACCCCAAACTTGCCTGTATGTTCATTTAGATGCATCAGCATATTAAAAATGCCAGGGCCAGTGTGGCTCACTTGTTTGGAACATCATCCCATAACCAAAAGGTTGCTGGTTCGATTCCTGGTCAGGGCACATATGATCCCCAGCCCAGGCACGTATTGGAGGCAACCAATTAATGTTTCTCTCTTAAATCAGTGAAAAAATGTCCTCCAATGAGGATAAGCAAAACAAAGCAAAGCAAAACAAAAAAAACGGCACCTGGAAAGTTGATGAATATTGTGCTGAAACCCTGCCCTAAGATTCTCTCCCACAGAAGAGAGATTAAACCCTGAAGACAGACTACCAGCATGGGCGTGCTCTTGAGCACACCCATGCCCTTTCCTGGGCATGAACTTTTTACTTCCTCCTAAACTCTATGGGTCCCCATGAGACCTGCAATCAGGGGAGCAGTGGGCAGTGGCAGCTTGTCCCAGGCTTACCCCTTGATCCTGTCTCCAAGGTCTCACTTTTCTTTGGCTTTCCAGTGAGCTAAAAGCAGACCTGCTTCGGCTCTCTTCTTTCCTATAGTGTTTCTAGCAAGACAAAACTGGGCACTGCCTAAGCTCTATCCTGTTTCTTTTTCTACCCTAAGTCCTTCCTTTGTTTCACTGTCCTCAGCTTTAATAAGCATACTCTCAAAATCACTTACTTAGATTTGTATTGTGAAATTTTTCTTGCATGAAGTCAGGAACCCATACACTACAGGCCAGCCTGAGGCAGACCCAATCCAGGCCAGGTCCCTGTCTGGTGACATTTCTAGGTTACATGTGTCTTTCAGGACTCTTAAGATATGTAATTATCTTCTGGCTTCCACTATTGCTATTGAGAGGCTTGCTGCCCAGGTGATAGTTCCCTCTTGTTTCTAAGAAACAAGACTGCTCTGTTACAAGTACCCTTTTATCTCTGACTATTTTTAAGATCTCTTTGTCTTCAGTATTCCTTAATTTCTCTGTAATACATCTAGGTATGAATTTATTTTGATTTATCTTGGCTTGATTATGTTGTGCTTCCTGTATCTGTGGACTCATGTTTTTCTTGGGTTCAAGAATATGCTCATCCATTCTCTCTCCAAATACTGGATATCACTTCCACGCTCTCCACTATCTTCTAGGACTCTGAATAGAGCACATTTGAACTTCTCATTTGTCCTCTGGAGCTAAACTTCTATTTTATATTTTTCATCTCTTTATTTTGTGCTGGATTCAGGGTAATTTCTTCAGTTCTCTATTTCTGTTCATTTTCAGCTGTGTTTAAGTAGCCCTATCCACTGAGGGGTGCTTGTTTTTAAAAAATTGCATTTTCACTTCTAGAAGTTTTAGGTTCTGTGGCAAATCTGCTTAATAATTTTTTTATATTTTCTTATTGCTTTCTCTTTTTGTGATTTCATCTTTTCTTTTATATTGTATATCTGATTATCATGCTATTTTAAGTCCCTGAGGATCTGTTATTCATGGTTTCTGCTGATTCTCACTTATAAGTGGTTTATTTCCTTGTGAATTTGGCACAGGGTTTAGTTGTTATGAAAGGGGAATGTCCTCTGGAATTTCTTCTCTGGCCATGTTGCATGAAGAAGTCTAATCCAGAGCTTCCCAACCAATATGCCATGGGTTATAGAAATGCTGAGATATTGATTTTTCATCTGGCTAGCTACCACTAATCATTAGCTGATTTGTTTATTTATCTTAATGTGCCAAGTACAAAGATATAAATCAATATACTAAAGTCAATGTATGAAAAGCCCACAGCCAACATCACCACACTCATGGGAGAATGAAATCTTTTCCTCTAAGATGAGGAACACGGCAAGTATGCCCACTTTTGCTTCTTCTATTCAACTTATTACTGTAAGTCCTAGCTAGAGCCATTAGGCAAGAAAAAAAAGAAATGCATCCAAATTGAAAAGGAAGAAGTACATTACTTCTGTTCACAGGTGACATGGTCTTATATGTAGAAAACCCCAAATCTGCCACAAAAAGCTATTGGAACTAGTAAATGAATTCAACAAAGTTGCAGGATATAAAATCAACACATAAAAATTAGCTGCACTCCTATACACTAATAACAAACAATCCAAAAAGGAAATTAAAAAATGATTTCACTTATAATAGCATCAAAAATACCTAGGAATAAACAACCAAGGAGGCCCAAAACTTATACATTGAAAACCACAAAACATTGCTGAAAGAAATTAAAGAAGATACAGATAAGAGGAAAGACATCCTGTGTTTATGAATTAAAAGTTAATATTGTTAAGATGTCAACATTAACCAAAGTGATCTATAGCAGTCAGGTCATCCTGCCTACCATGAGAACACACGTGTAACAATCTAATATTTTTCTGATCATTAGCATTATTCTCTATTAATAGGAATCAAGGATCTTTGTTGCTATTCCTTGAGTTAGCACAGATGTGCCTTGTTGTTGCTAGAAGTAAAAGTAATGATAACAACAAGAATAATAAGCTGCCAACACTTACTGAGTACTTGTTATGTGGCCAGATACTGTCTCAGGTGTTTACATGGATTGATTCATTTACTGCTCACAATGAGAAGTACCTGGAAATTTATGGTATCTAAGATAGGATTTTCCTAAGACTTATCCTATGACTAATGTGTGAGAGATATAAAGTCTCTCTCCAGCTCCCTTGCTGGTGGTAAGGGCAATTCTGAGGCATAAGTTTCATTTTAGACTTCCATGTATGATCAGGCTGAAGCTCCCCTTTGCAGGACTCTGAAAGCTCAATCTTGGTTGGCTTCTTCCCCTGCTCTGCTAGTTTCCTCTAGGAGCTTCCTTAATAATTACTTGCACACAAATCTTTGTCTCAGAGTCTGTTGCTAGGGAACCTGACCTGATACCTAAGAAGGAAAGAATACTCATGAATTTACCTTTTAAAATTGATGCTGAGATTGGCAGTCATGACAACTCCTTCAGCAATTATCGCAGACATACCAACAGTAGCGTCAATCATGGTTGCAATAGCACCTCCGTGAATGAATCTAGTTACAATAGGAGGGAAAGAGAAATGTTTTCGAGACATGTGAAAAGAGAGAAAAATTATCCAAGCATCTCCATATACTGTAATTTGCTATGTCTATGTTCAGTGTACTAAATGTCAAATATCCATGCCCCCAACTTTAATAGTATAGTATTTGTAGTAAAACAGAACTTAATGGTAATCAGATCACAAGCAAAAAGCTAAAATATCATTTACAAAATTTATATTTTTAGTAAACTAACTATACACATCATTGCTTAAAAATTAGGAAATGCAGATAAACAGAAGGAAAAGAAAAGTAAATGAAAAAAAAATAAGGCCATCTAGTGACAAACCACTGTTAACACGTCAATGATATTCACCCAAATTATGCTCTATTGCCTTGTGTCCTATGCTTTTTTGACAATAATTTACTATAAACACCTTTCCAGGTCAATAAATACACCTACATTACCATTTTAATGCTTTCAATCTATTCTATCAATACATGGGGATACTGCAAGATAACAATCTTTCAGACCCACGTTTCCAGGCTATCATTCTTACCCAGGAATTCCTTGCAGGTAAGGGCCTCCTTCAAACAAGCAAACTGTTCTTTTCTCAGCATTGTTATAGAACATCACATATTCGAAGCCCAGTCCATCCTCAAAGCTTTCTGTGAAGACCTGGGCCTGTGACAGTTTTTCTTTGTCTATAAACTTTGAGGCTTTAGGGAGATAACCTGGGTGGGCATATGAGAAACAGGTATGAGAAAGATGTCATGACAGAGTTAAATATCTGTGTCCCGCTAGAATAACAGGTCAATAGATGACTGAGTATAATGTCAACCAAGTATAAAACTGAAGGGAGCCCTGACCAGCGTGGCTCAGTTGGTTGGGCATCACCCAACAAGGAAAAGGTTCCTGGTTCGATTCCTGGTCAGGGCACATTGCCTGTGTTGCAGGTTTGGTTCCCCATTTGGGGTGTAGAGAAGGCAACTGATCCATGTTTCTCACATTGATGTTTCTCTCCTTCTCTTTCTCCCTCCCCTTTTCCCCATCTCTAAAAATAAATAAATAAAATCTTAAAAAAACAACTGAAGGGGATGGGGGGGGGCTTCAAAGAAACAGAATGTAAGATCTTTGCCCATATGGAATTAACAGCCTAACTGGGGACAAAGTAAACATAAATGCAATAAAAACAAAGAACTTACTCACACATGGCAATTAGGAAATACAGTACATAAATGCAAAGGATATACTGAATAAAATACTAAGGTGTACACAGAAGTCCTTCATGGAATAAATGTGGTTTAAATGAGATTTAAAAATGAATAATGTAACAGTAGGGAGGTTTTCCTTGCAGAAATGAGTTTAGTTTGAGCAGAAGTTATCCTAGTGGATCAGAAACCAGTTTAGTTCAGCCTCCTATTCCATGTGATTATGACTCTAAGTTCCCAAACTTGGGGTTAGAACCATTAGGGTTCATCAAATCAAATTACTGAGTCATAATCAGGCTTTAAAAAGAAACGTAATGCTTCACGTATATCCTGGGGAAGGACTAGTACACTTGTTTGTATGTAATTTTTCAATTAGACAACTGTGCACAAGTTGTTATGTATTAGGTTATGAGTCAAAATGCAGGTCATTTCAAAATAAAGACTGAAAACTACTGCTGTAAATAAAGGGCATATTCGTCCTTTCATCTCTATTTCAAGATTTAACTCCTAAAAATCTTAGCTTTCTTTAATAGCTCATTATGATTTGCCATGCATAACATTATCTAAGTTTCTTTCATTGCTACTGAACTGACATTTACTGACTTGGAAAAAAATGAGATGAGAGGATCTGGGAGAAGTGCGGAAAAGGTCAAGAAGGGTGACTTTTATTTAGGTCACGAGCATCCTGTGCAGTAGACACCCCATCTTTTAGAATTTATATGCTCAACAACGGGAATAAATATATATTCTATGTTCCCTAACAGTTGTTGAGAAGGTTAATGATTTAGAGATTCAATGAAACTTAAAACTGAGACTCAGTATCATCGTATAGTAAAAAGAACCTTGTCCTGGGAGTTGGACCTAGAACTTGCTTGTTTCTTCATACTTTATCCACACAGTAAGGAAATAAACCTAAATGACTTCTAAGATCTCTTCTAACTCTGACATCCCAGAATTTTAGGATAAGATAAGCACTGGACCTTTCTAAGGAGTTCGAAAATTCTGGTACAGATTACTGAACCTTGGGGTTATCTCATAAAAATGAGAAAAATAAAGCTGGTGGGGTAAGTTTGTAAGAAACGCAGACTCTTAGGCTCTACCCTGACCTACTGAAGCACAACTTGAATTTTAACAAGGTTCCCAGGTGCTTCAAGTTTGTTTTAAAATCTGAGAGGCATTGGTATTTTAAGACATGGGATAACACTGAAGGTAGCAGAGGAGTAACATGATTAGATTTGCATTTTGGCTTACTCTGTCAATTGGATGAAAGGAGGGATTTGGCGGGGCATAGAAAGATGAATGAGAAGACCACTGAAACACTATAAAATCACAGTCACCAAAGTTATCTGCTAGCTGGGGTCATTTTCTCCAGCAATGCTCAGCTACATGAGGACCTGTGCAAAAGAGATGGCAGATAGTTACATTCACCCAGGGCCCCAGGGCTGGGGTTTTCCTAGAAAAGTAGACTAGAGAGGTTAAGATAGAAGAGGGTTATGGGAACAATGAGAAAGTAGAGGACTCAGTGAACTGAAGGTTTTAACGAGGTCAAAGAATTGTTTCTGTGGTGCTCTTCAACAAATAAGGTAGAAGGAAAAAGGTGTGGTCAGAAAACAGGATGTCTAAATGTGTGGATTTGGAGATTGTGCACTTTCTGAAGATGACAAGGCTCAAGATGTCCTTAGGAGTGTGTAGCTGGGGTTGGGTGAAAACATTCATAGTTGATGGGGAAACAAATGAACTGCAAAGCCATGGTGTAGATGCTGGAGTTGCTGGGGATGGCGAATGGAATTGGAGGAGAGAAAAATGGTTAGCCAGTTGCTGAAATACTCGACATACGAGGGAGAGGTTGGTAGACGACAGCAAGGAGGGGAAGAAGAGGATGATAAAGTCAGATGGAATGAAACTCAAAGAAATGGGGCTTTTCTCAAAGTGGAAGTAGTGGTTTGAAAGCAAGTGTGGGGAGCAAAGGGGACCTCAATCTCTTCCCTGTTATGAAAAGGTCAAGTTTCAGGCCTGAGAGGCTGAGTAGGTTGGATGAGTTGTTGAGCTGAAGAAACATGTGGGAACAAAACCCTGGGAATCACTGACATTTAGGGAGCAGGTAGAGAGAAAGAGGTAAGACTGGTCAGAGAGGTTATGAAAGCCAAGAGAAAAAGTTTCAAGGAGAATGAAATCAACAGCTAGGGCTGAATAATGTCCACCAAACTTGGCACTTAGGTCACTAGTGGCTTCACTGAAGACATTTCTGTAGAGCTGTTAGGGTGGAAGCCAGACTGCCCTAGGCTAAGGACATTTAAGTAATGATATGGTAAATAGTTAGAATGGAATTGTAATATAGATTATTATTTTTTTCTGCTTCATTTGTAAAATAGAGTAATTTTTATTTTTCTCCACTGGAGGGTCTACTTGTATAAAGAAACAAACTCCACCATTTTTTCTTGGCTAAGGTAGTTTTGTTTTATTTTTAAAGATTTTACTTATTTATTTTTAGAGACAGGGGAATGGAGGGAGAAAGAGAGGGAAGAGAAACACTGATGAGAGAGAGAAACATCGTATGCACCCCAACCAGGACCAAACCTGTAACCCAAGAATGTGCCTGACCAGGAATTGAACTAGCAACCTTTCACTTTTTGGAACAAAGCTCAACCAACTGAGCTACACTGGTCAGTAGTTTGGTTAAGGTAGTTTTATTTTTGTTTCATTTATTCCTTCAGCAAATATTCAAGTACTGTACCATGAAGAAACAAAGGCAAGTAATGGTAAAATAACTTGTCCAGGATCACAAAGCTTTAAATTATGGAACCAGAATTTGAACCCACACACTAAATCTCAACCATTAAATTAGGAAGTTGCCAGCTTTTGGATGGCCTTTAATGACATGAGAATGAATGAGATTACCAATGGAGTATGGAGAAAGAGGACTAAGGCCTGAGACACAGGGTACCCTAATATTAACAGTGTGAGGATAAGGAGGAATCAGCCAAAGAAGCTGAAAAGGAGGGACCAGTGAAATAGGAGAATGCAGTGTCCTGGAGGCCAAGTTCAAGGAGAAGGGAGTCATCAACTTTGCCAAAAGTTGAGAGGTCACTGATTAGCAACATAGAAGGTCACCGGTACCCTCAGCAAGAGTAGTTTTTTTCATTTTTAAAATTTATTTATTTATAGAGAGAGGGGAAGGGAGAAAGAGTGGGAGAGAAACACCAATGTGTGGTTGCCTCTTGCGCACCCCCTACTGGGGACCTGGCCTGCAACCCAGGTGTGTGCCCTGACTAGGAATCAAACTGGCAACCCTTTGGTTTGCAGGCTGGTGCTCAATCCACTGAGCCACATCAGCCATGGCAGCAAGAGTAGTTTTGATGAAGTGGTAAGAGAGAGTCTGATTGGAGTGGGTTCAAGAGAGACTGGGAAAAGAGAAATGCATTTGTGGCACATCTGTATGTTGATAAGAGATATCTATCAGAAAGGGACATCCTTAAGTAGGCCAAAGGTAGGAATACAGTGCACAATTGTATGCTTAGCCTCTCTTAAGAGTATGGACAGTTCATTCAAAACAGGAAAAAGCACAGCATCAGGACATCTGCAGAGAGGAGGATTAAATAAGGCAATGGAAGACTGGGAGTTCTATTCTTTTATTTTTTCTCTTACTGAAACAGAAGGCAAGATCAGCTCAGAATGAGGCTTCACGAAAAGGTAAGAAATAGTCAGCTAGGAGAGCAGGAGAGGAAATAGATGAGAGAAAAATGAAATGATTGTCAGGTATCATTAAGGGCCTACTTGAGTTCATTTTTTATAAAACCATCACAATTCCTAAACTACTTCTTAAAGATATGTTTGGATTTAAAGGTAATGAGTAACTTAAGAAATACCTGTATAAACTTCATGAGGTCCGAGACCCTATTTGTGTAACTCAGGTCAGTTTCAGGAATACAATGCTTGGCATAGCACAGATGCTCAACAGACAGTTGTGCTAAATCAATAAATACTAGATGTTGCAAATAAGTAATCTAAAAGGTCTTTACAAGCTGAGTCTAAAATGAAGAGATAGGCCTGACTGGTGTGGCTCAGTGGGTTGGGCATTTTCCTGCAAAATGAAAGGTCGCTGGCTCGACTACCAGCCAGGGCACAGTCTAGGTTGCAGTCCGAGACTCTGACTGGGGATGTGTGAGAGGCAACTGATTGATGTTTATCTCATGCATTGATGTTTCTCTCCCTTTCTCTGTCCTTCCCCATTCTCTAAAAATAAAATCTTTAAAAAATATAAAATTATATATATTCATTCTTCTCTATTTGTAAGGATGTCTCCCTTCCAGTACCAGAAAGAGAAGGATAACTCTAAATAAGAAGAACCTTATCAATGGAGAAAACACCTATTTAAATCTGCCTAACAAACCTTACCCTTGTTTCCCTGCTTTTCCTGCTAACCTCCCCACAACGACCCCTCCCCATACCTTTCTTTTGTCATTAGCTCAAGGGGGTATTTAAACTGATGTCTTAGGCAACCTTGGGGAGTTACTATTCCCTGGGTATTTTCCCAAGCACATATAAAGTATACACGTTAAACTTCTGAGTTTTGTTGTTGGTGTTGTTCTTGTTTGTTTTAGCAAAACAATGGGAGGAAGGAAGGTGGTTCACTATTCCTCTCAATTTCTATCCCAAGGATCTGGCACCATATTTTAGAGACTAAAAAGTTCTTCTTAAAAAAAAAAAAAAAAAAAATTAGGTGCATTTATTTTTCCACAGCAGCCATCTGACATGCTTTGTGTTTTACTTATTTAATGGTTTGTCTCCGAACACTAGAATATCTTCTCCATGAGGGCAGTTTATTTAGGTAAGGAAAAGAGCCTCCTACACAGGTATCCTGGTATGTTTCTTCCCTTCCTTTTTCTCTCTTCTTTCTACAAATATTTATAAGGCACTTCCTATGTTCTGCGTACTGTTCTAAGCACTGGAGATACAGTAAAAATAAAACATGGACCTTACTCCCTAGCGGTGAGAGACAAATCATTAAAGAAAACGCAAATGCACCTTAATGACTGCATGTTACTAGGTGAAAGAAAACAATCTGAAAATGATTCCAACTATAAGGCATTCTGGAAAAGGTAAAACTATGGAGACAAAAAGATCAATGGTTTTCAAGGGTTCAGAGGGAAGGAGGGAGGAATGAACAAGAGAAGCACAGAGCATTTTTAGGGCAGTGATACTATTCAGTATGGTACTTTTATGGTAGGTATATGTCATCATACATTTGTCAAAACCCACAGAAGTACAACTTAAAGAGTGAACCCTAATGTAAAGTATGAACTTCAGTTAATAATAATAAATCAATACTGGCTCATCAATAACAAATGTATTACACTAATGCAAGGTGTTAATAATAGGGAAAGCTAGGGTAGAACTCTGTATTTTCTGTTCATTATTCTGTATACCTGAAACTGCTAAAAAAAAAAGTCTTAATTAAAAAGATAACACATAAAGAAGAACAGGAAGTATAATGTGTGTGCACTGGAGGTACAGTAGGTTGCCTTGGGAGTCAGGAGTCTGGGTGATGGGGCGGTGACCTAAGTGTCCTAAACTTCTTAGGGTGGCAGAGCTATACATTGAGGTAAATGGTAAAACGAGATTACTGATGACAGCCTTAAGACAGAGAAGCGATGGGGCTGTGGGGGGTGTGGAGGCTCTCTGGAGTTTTGTTAACTCCTGCTAATGGTGATGAGGATGCCTCAGTGGGAGGCAGTCTTATTCTCAGCAAAAAGCTTTATATGTCCCCACAATACACAAAATTCATTGAGATTTCTGGCTTATAAAACTAGAGAATACAGAAACCCCTGCACTATACTCTTTCCTTTTTTCAAGTGGTAACTAGTGCTTCAATCTGTTCTTGGTTTTATATTTGATATTTAAATATTCTTTATGGGAGAGTCACTGTTCCTACCACAAAAAAAGGTTGTGAGGTCATGACTACTTTGAGCTGCTTTATAGAGAGGCAAAGGTATCCAGGAGCCATCTTCACATTTCTTCTTGAACTGGGCAAAGAGGCGTCTCATGTCCTTGCTCCAGCAGGATTTGGGGAGAGAATGTTCCTCAGAAAAGAGTTCCTCAAAAGACATTGAGCTCTAAAAGACAGAGAGGAAAAAAAGCAGAGTAAGGGGAGGTGCATCCTTTATCACAACATATTCTATTTTTTCAGACTATTTTGCTGCTTTTCCTCTACCCAGAAACTTGTCATTTTGGAATGGAAGCAAAATTCAAGGATTATCTGCTCCAACCAACCTCCTTGGGAAAAACAGGAGACTGAGAGTGTGAAATGATTTGCTCAATGTCACCCAACTAGCTATTAGCAGCGTTAGCATTAAGCCCAGGTCTGGTGGACTCTCCTTGCCCCGCAAACTTAATCAAGCGCAGGTGAGCCAGGCACTGGAGACAGAGTGATAAAGGATAGACATTTTCCTCCATGTAAAAAGTGCTACCAGTGGCGTATGCACAGGAAGTCAGAGCACAGGGGAGAGGCATCCATCTCAGACTGGGGTTCAGGTAGGGTTTCTCTGATTTGAATCTTGATTAAACAAGGGGAAATTAGGCAGCTAGAAAGAGCATTGTAGGCAAATAAACAGTGTGCAAAAACAAGAAGGCATGAAACAGTTTTGACAGCTGTATTACAGCTTTATGAAATTAAATACTAATTATTATCTCCATTTTACAAATGATGAAACTAAGGCCCGCAAGAAGCTCAGTGTTGTTTTGCTGCAGAGGGAGGAACAGATAGCTGCAGAGATGTAGGCTAGGGCCTGTGAGAAGCCTTCTCGCTAAGCTAACTAGTGTGAATTGCGTCTGAAGTACTCTGAAGAATTTTAGACAAGGAGAGACATGATCACATCTGGCCATGATATGAGTCAGTAGGAGTGACCAAGACTAGATTGGAGGGCCATGTTTGGAGGCTTTGGGGTAGCCCAGGTAAAAAATTACAAGTGCACAAAGCAGAACTAGATGACTATTTACATAAAAAGAGTGAGGGAAGAAGAAAAACACAAGAGCCAATCCCAGGTTTCTGAAATGTGCAATAGAGTGAGTGACAGGGCCAAATACTGAGAAAGAATATGAAGAGGAACAGGAGGTCAGGAGGACAAGTGCTTGGTCACAGTAACAGCAGGTTCCACCCATCCAATTTCTCTACCACACTGAGCATAGCTACCACTGCCATGCCCTGGCAGCAGGGAACAGTTCAAGGGCCCTGGAGGAGCAGGGCGAAGTGAGTGCCCAAAGGCACCACAAAGGAAAATAGGTCCTTTTGACTTCTGCAGAAATTTTCAGACATTTCTGATCACAGAAGCTATCAACTTCGTAGTGTTCTATTTCCAGCTGTAACAGTGCAGCTAGGCCCCCACAAAGAGGATTTGTAAAGGGGCCCAGAGCTTGGGGAGTCCAAGGAAGATATAAGATATGCTCCCACCCCACCCACAGTGGGCTGCCATGGGGGATGGGAGGCAGGGAGCAGGGCCAGTGAGTTACTTTGTGTATCAGTAACAGGCCAGCTTCAAACCTGACATGGAGCAGGGCCATTAAGTTATTTTGCATGTCAGTAACAGCAGGATAGCTTCAAACCTCATATGCAAAGATGTTTATTTTGCAAATCAACAAGGCTAACCAGGAAGGTTTGTGTAACTTAAACCCAGAAAGTAACTGGGCAGGTGGTTCCTCTGGTTACAGCACATGTGCAGGAGAGCTCAGAGATGGTTTGCTCCACGCTTGGAGGGAACAATGGGAAGACCATGCGGGAAGGAAAGGGGAGAAAGGACTCATGCTAGTGGGCCATGAGAAGGTGCCACGTGGTTCTGAATTAAGAACTGGGGATCGCAGCAATGCAGTGGATGGTGCTGGAAACAGCGAGAGGCCTGCCTAGCTGATCTCTGGACTTCTGTTTTTTTTCTTCTTCAGGATGGTACCCCTGACTGGCCTGGCCGGTCAAGAAGGGGAAGGCAGGACTGTGTGCTGGTAGGTGTTTTAAAGGGATTTTGAGATTTAACAGTGACATTTAGCCATTATTAAAAACCTGTATAACTTTTGAATAAATCTTTTCTTTTCACCAAACTCTGCCATTGAAAGTCATAATTTTTAAGGGCGGCAGAGAAAAGACCTAGAACAGAGGGACCCCAGGAAAGGGGGGTGTTGTTCTGGTAACGGCATCTGGGGCTCCCCTCTCAATGGTCCACATTTGGTAACAAAGCCCCCCTTATCAATTCATTCAGATTCAAGGTACCTACAACACTTGGAATGCACCCTGAAGTCCTAACATGGAGATGTGCTTACTGTGATAGGTTACCAGCTATTCAGACTTCTGCTGACACTTCAGATAGTTACAATCCTGACTCGGTGGGAGCCTGTCTCAAGAACCCTATGGAAATAGAAACTTCCTGACTGAACAAAAGAAAGTCTTAACTTGGTGAGGGAAAATGTGAGTAAGGCAGAGAACAGGCTACTTTCCTATAGCCCAGGACTTGTACCTTTATTTTTTCCTTATGGTTTTGTATTGGCTCATCCCTTTAGAACTCAACTCAGAAAATTTGGAAGAGAAAAAACAACAACAAAAAACTAACCCATTATCTCTCCGTCTTACTATACCAATAGTAAAATTTTGATATATTTCCTCCAAGTTTTTTGAAATGTAATTTTTCTTAAATACTTTTAATCTCTAAGAAATATAATTTTTCTTTTTGCTTCACCACTTAAAATTATTTAGTATTCTCTTTTTCATGTTCCTCTCAATTATGGTCATTTTCAACATCAGAAATATAGTCCTTTAACTTAATGTACTATAATTTATTTAACCATTTAGTTGGACATTTGCTTCCAATATTTTGCTGCTTTAAATAAAAATGTTCATCAAAATATTTAAATATGGCTTTTTCTCTATTTTGGATTATTTCCTTAGATTCAGGTTTCATTTTGCAACTTTTTAAGTACATGATTTCTGGAAGTAATTTAACAGACATGGTTAGTCACAAAATAATATGTATTGACCAATCCTAGTCAAATGAGAGGCTTTGGAGTTAAGAATTTGGGTCATCTCCTCCACAGGTCTCATCTTAGACAACTCTAGGATCGATCAGTTCTAGTATCATTTATGGACCACTGCAACAGAAATAATTGAAGACTTTTAGGAATTAGAATTACTTCTTTGACTGTGGGCTCTCCTACCTGATTTTAACGTTGAATGTCTGGTATTCAGCTAAATGCAACAAATGTTTTTTAGCTCTACTATGTGCCCTGGTTCTGTGCCAGGAACAGGTAACACAAAGGGAGAAGACTTAGGCCCCCGCTTCAAGTGCTTGTAGCCTTTGAGTGTGAAAAATGCTAAAACAGAAGTAGATATAGGCACAGAAAGAGTGACCTTCAGGAAAAACTTCAAAATGAGCAGTGATTTCTAAAGGATACTATATTTTGTGGTGTATATAATATGCACTTTTTGCCCAAGATTTTTTAGTGTAAAACAAGGGTGCGCAATTATACATAATAGTACTAATTCTGTATCTATATAACTGTTTTAACATATAAGCATAAATAAAAAACCTAAAAAGTATAACTCTGGAAAGCAATAATGATATCCATATGCAAAATAATACCCTGGAATATGATAATTGGTTTTGTTTATCAATATAAATAAATTAAAAATTGGATTAAAAAATTAAAACAAAAGATTTTTCTCCTGAAAGTTTGGGCCAAAAACATGAGTGCGCACTATACAAGGGAGCACATTATACACAGCAAAATACTGTAAAAAGTTCACTAAGGAGAGAATGAAATGACTACTCCAAGCACATACATAGAAAGATGAAATAACCAAATGACATGTTGGGGAACTGCTAGGATTTCAATTTCAGGAAGTAAGGTGCAGAGAGAATAGCAGCCAGATGTGGATGGGGAAAGAAGGAGCATCACACTGCAAAGGCTCTCTGGCATTAACCAAGGGCTTAGATTTCATTTTCTAGGTCAATGTCTCCAAAGGTCAATATGAAAGATGATTTTAGCACAAGGATGATATACGTATTTTAAAATGTTTATTATAAAAGGATGTAAATAATGTATCGCACTTGTGATTTCACAAATGTTGTCACTTAGGATGAAGCTAATTAAAGAAAGGGAGTTTTTAAAGAATCATGAAGGTGGAACTTGAGTGATAAAATAGTTTTTTCCCATTATATGGAGACTTAAGGAGTATTACGCAAAGCAGTACCATAAACTTGTAATTGCAGCTCAAAATGATCCTATCATATTGAACAAGATTCTGAATTGCTTTACTGAGAGAAAGACCAAAACTGCAAGTCATGCAGCCAAAGCATGGGCAGAGGAGAAAACTTTGACCTCCAGCTACACCTGGAACCAAAGTTTTGCTCCCCACCCTGCCACAGAACTGAAGAACAAGGATATAATGAAAATCTGAACACTTGGAACCCTTTTAGAAGCAAGGGGTCCATTGTCCAGAAAGATCCAGGGTTGATGCCCCTTTACCATAAATGGTCAAGTTTCAAGGTCCTCCAATTAAAACTTGTCCCACCTGCACTTCTACATACCTATTCCCCTACCCCTTAAAAACCCTAAACCTAGTCCAGTGAGCAAGATGGATGTGAGGCACTATTAGGTCTCCTATCTTCTCGGTTGGCACCTTTGCAATCTATAAACCTTTCCTTACTCCAAACTCTGACACTTTAATTTTGGCCTTTTAAACTGTGGGGCACACTTGGGTTTGCTAACAATCTGGCAAGTCAGCCACAAGCTGATGCCCATGGCAGGCCAGCCCAGCCCGGCTGGGGTTCCCCTCTGTGAGTCCTGAGCTGGGGCCAAAGGCCGACAACTTGTTTAGAATGAGGAAATGTCTTTGGACTTTAATCTACAGTTTGTTTTATTTCTGGGGCAGGTTGCTCTGGTGTGAGCAGTTGGTAATCCTTCCTCTCTAGCTGGGCTCTCTTTCCCTTCGGACAAAGCCACCTGCATTTCGAATTTAGTAGGGGGTCTCTGTCTGAGGGTAGGATCAAGATTGTTGTACTCTACCCACTTATCTCTTTGTTTTTGGTAGACCATGTTAAGTGTGTTTGTTGTGCCTCTAAATCTATGTCTATAT